TAAAACAATCAACGGCCACGATTTTAAAATGGGATCCGGGCGGGTTCGTTTAATTGGGTCTGGATCGGGTAGAAATAAAATTGGGTTGGGAATTGGGGGGGTTAGAATTAGGCTGTAATTGAAATCAAAAAGAGGCTAAAATTGAAATAGCCATTTTACTCTTTTGAATTTATAAAAATAGTAAAAGCTGTTAAAAATTAAATTAAAAATACTGGGTTGATAAACAATATGTAGGTATTAATTTAAAAATATTAGGATTGATTTTGTAAAAAAATTGCTATTAAATCTAGAAGTAGGCTAAAATTGCAATTTCGTGCAATTTTAGTTTAAAAATACTAAATGGATTTGTAAAATTATGCAAAAATCATGTAAATTATATTTTGCCGTAAATGTGAGATTGAAATAAATTATTCACCAAAATGGCAAGTTTTGGGAATAATTAATGGATTTTATAGTGCACAATAGGCCATAAATTGGTCTTAAAAATTATTAAAAATGCCAAAAAAATTTGGGGTGCTCATATATGCACACATATGCTATTTTGAAAGTGTTTTGAGTATATAAAAAATATATAGGGAAAAATTGGGTATCAACAGAATATAGAGGTAAATGCATCGATAATATAAATATATTTTTCATATAGATAAAATTTAAATTTGTGTTATATGTTAGTTATTATTTTTATCAGATTATTAATATAATAGTGCTCAAATTGAAATAAAGGTCGATAGGGAGATAATTGCAAACATAAATGGTACATGGAATACCAAATTTGTCAATTTGATCGAAGGAAATGAAAAGAAAGTTAAGAAATTTGTTCTTTATTTACTTAGTTGGTTTGGCTAAAGAAATATACAAATGAAGTCGAGAGAGGAAAATTCTTATTTTGGATCCATATGAGAAAATTAAGAGAGAAAAACTTAAAAGTAGAAATCATTTCTCATAGGGACTTTATTAAAGATCTTATCGGGTATTTCAACATTAGATTGTATATTAGATTATATGTCTGATATAGTCAAAGATTGTAGGTAAAGAGGCGTGATCTTAGGGATACGCTCTTGACTTATGTATCTTCATTTGTGTATATATTTTGGGTGTAATCTATCTTTTGTATTATGAAGAGAAATACACTTACATCTTTCACATTGTATCAGAGCTACCATTAAGTAGCCTTTTTCCGGTGACTACTCCGGTAGCTTTTTTCGGCAGCCGCTATTCACTCGGCTTTTCCGGCCATCCAGTTTTCATTCCAGGTCCGCGAGTGTCGATCACTTTTTCCGGCTCCAGTAACCAAAGAAGTGTTCTAGTGAAATTAGTCATCCTTCTCGGAATATTTTTGCCTTTCTCCAACGAAGTTCTTGGATCTTTTTACCTTTTGAGTCAAATCACCTAGTAGGTAGGCCCCCATTCTCTAGATCTATAACCACCACCCTTTTCATCCATTTTTCATAGTCATTATAGTCAACTTTCAAATTGTTGTTGGGAAAGGGAATTAAAATTGGGGTTGAAAGAGAAAAGTAAAAATCTTGAGAGTGCTCTGGTGAGTCTTGGTTTGGTGGGTCACGTGAGGGGTAAGAAAGTTTTAGCTTCTGATAAGCTTTTCCCTGGCTAAAGTTTTTTTTTGTTGCAAGTCCCACTCTACTGTTTTTCCTTATAGGTGGTGGGTATTTTTCTGACAAGCCTTATTTTCCACAAAATCTTGAATTTTTCATTTTCTTATACAGTGCTCTTGCTTTGGTTCTTTGTCCCACGTTATTTACCCACTTACCTTTCTGAAACTAAAATTTCAAAATGGTAAGTGATTCTTCACCAACAGATGATATTAAACCATTTTTTACTTCAATTTCAAATCCTTCCTCTATTACAACTGTTAGATTACAAGGTAGTGATAATTACACACCATGGTCTTCTTAGGTTGAGATGTGGTTTATGAGACAGGGATATGAAGATCACTTAGTCAAAAGTGCTAGCGATATTAATATTGGTGAAAGAACTAAGTAGACTCGAATTGATGTACAATTGTGTAATCTTTTATGGAATTCTTTGGATCCTAAATTACTCAAACTATTCCAGTCTTGTAAAACTTGTTATAAGGTTTGGACTAAAGTTAAGGCTTTGTATACGAATGACGTACAATGTATATATAAATTTATCTCGGATCTAGTCCAACTATAGTAGGATAATCAAGATATGGCGAGTTATTTAGGACAAATAGATACTCTGAAGGATCAATTTGATTCCTTATGCCACTTTCTGCAAATATCACTACGCAAGAGCAGCAAAAAGATAAGTTCTTTATGGTTTTGGCATTGAAAGGTCCTAGATCTGATCTAAGCTCTGTAAGGGATCAAATCTTGTCGAGTCCCATAGTTCCTTCCCTTTTAGACGTATCTGCTCGGTTATTGTGTATCTATTCAGAAACAATTGATACTAATAAAGCTGAGACATCTGTGTTAGCTGTGCAAAATGAAGATCCACGGGGACAAAGTGTCTATCGGGAGAAAGGTAAAAGCTCTAGACCTTACTGCAACTATTGCAACAAGCCCAGCCATACTCGACAAACTTGTTGGAAACTGCATGGTCGACCAACACGTCCTAAAAATCACAGTACTGCTCATGTAGTTCAAACTCGTGAAGATATAGATGGTCAACAAGCCAATTCTATTACTTTGTCTGTAGCAGCTTTTAGTGATTATTTGCAGTATCAAGAGGCTAAACAACATTGAGTCTCATCAGACATATCACAAACTGGTAATTCCTTTACTTGTTTGACCAGGTCTTCACCCATTAGTCCATGGATATTGGATTCTGGTGCATCTGACCATATCTCTGGTAATCAGAATCTTTTCTCAAACTTTCTCATTCCTCAATATTCTCTACAGTAACTCTTGTTAATGGCTCACAAACTGAAGTAAAAAGAGTAGGGAAAGTGCAGCCTCTTCCCTCTATTTCTTTAAACTCAGTTTTATTTGCTCCTGAATGCCCATTCAATTTGGTTTCCATTAGCAAATTAACCAAAAATCTCAATTGTTCTGTCACTTTTTTTGCTAACTCAGTTGTTGTGTAGGACCGGAGTATGGGGAAGACGATTGGAACAAGATATGAGTCACAGGGACTATATTACTTGTCCAAATCACAACCTCATGTTGCCTTCACTTCCGCTGCCTCAGCTGATCTTCTCCACAACCGATTAGGTCACCCGAGTCTTGCAAAGCTTCAGAAGTTAATTCCTAGTCTTTTCACATTATCGTCTATTGAATGTGAATCTTGTCAACTTGGGAAACATACTCGCATTTCATTTCCTAAAAGAGTCAATAATAGGGCCATTTCTATGTTTGACATTGTTCACTCAGATATATGGGGTCCTAGTCGTGTTGTTTCAAATTTGAGGTTTCAATATTTTGTTACCTTTATTGATGACTTTTCTCATTGCACATGGGTATTTTTAATGAAAACTTATTCTAAATTATTTGCTATTTTTCAAAAAATTTGTGCGGAGATAAATAATCAATTTGGTGTTTCAGTAAAGGTATTACGTAGTGACAATACCAAGGAGTACTTATCATCTCCCTTTGATAATTTTATGTCGTCTCAAGGAATCACTCATCAAACTTCTTGTGCATACACTCCTCAACAAAATGGAGTCGCCGAACGTAAAAATCGGCATCTCATTGAAACAACACGTACCTTACTTATACACCATCATGTTCCTCTTCGTTTTTGGGGGAATGCTATTCTCACTGCTTGTTATCTAATTATAGAATGCCCTCGACTGTGTTGCAACATCAAAGTCCTCACTCCATTCTCTTTCCGGGTCAAAATCCTTATCATCTACCTTTGAGAGTGTTTGGATGTACTTGCTTTGTTCATGATCACAGTCCTGAAAATGACAAACTCCAACCAAAATCAATTAAGTGTGTCTTTCTAGGATACTCTCATTACAAGAAAGGTTACAAGTGCTACAATCCAAAAACAAATAAATATTTTACTACTCTAGATGTAACCTTTTTTGAGACATCTCCTTATTTTCCCCTAAACACTACAAGCAGAAATTTGATTCCTCAAGTATTGCCAGTACCTATACTTCCTGTGCCACATATCAGTCTTCCAAACAACCGTGAAGTCGTTCCTCCTCCCCTTCAAGTATACTCTCGTCGTACTCGTCTTCCTGCTCTTATTAATGATAAAACTACTCCTGATCTATACACGTTAGTAGCTCCTGATGACTCATCTCTTACCCCTTCGTCACCTGCTCCAGTCATGCCTTCATCAGATGCAGTAACTCCACCAATTGCCATACACAAAGGTATACGCATTACTCAAAGACCAGTAAGATATAACTGTTTAAGTTATCATCGACTATCCCCTTTATATTATAACTTTGTATCTACATTGTCTAATGTGCCTATACCAAAAACTGTTGACGAAGCATTAGAACATCCAAGGTGGAGAGGTGCTATGATTGAAGAAATGGCTGCTCTAGAAATCGATAACACTTGGGAATTGGTCCAGTTACCGGAGGGAAAATATACTGTTGGATATCGATGGATATACACAGTAAAGGAGGTTCAGATGGAACAGTTGAACGGCTAAAAGCTCACCTTGTTGCCAAAGGATATACCCAAATTTATGGCCTTGCCTATGGTGACACATTTTCTCTAGTTGCCAAGATTGCATCTGTCCGATTGCTTATCTACTTAGCAGCAATACATCATTGTCCACTTCATCAACTAGATATTAAGAATGCTTTCTTATATGGCGAGCTTGCTGAGGAAGTTTATATGGAGCAACCTCCTGGGTTCGTTGCTCAGGGGGGGTCAGACTTAGTATGTCGTCTAAAACTTTCATTGTATGGCCTCAAGCAATCTCCGAGAGCATGGTTGGCAGATTTAGCTCTATTATCCAAATATTTGGGATGTCTAGAAGTGAGGCAGATCACTTTGTTGTCTATCGACGTAATGGTCCAGAAAAGAACATTTATTTGGTCGTTTATGTTGATGACATTGTCATAACTGGAAATGATCATGAAGGAATATCTCAGCTAAAACAACATATGTTCAGTCATTTTCAAACCAAGGACTTGGGGAACTAAAGTATTTCTTGGGAATCGAGGTAGCACAATCTAAGACAGGCATTGCTATCTCACAAAGAAAATATGCTTTAGACATACTAAATGAGACATGTATGTTAAACTGCAAACCTGTTGACACTCCTATGGATCCAAACGTAAAACTCGTCCCTGGACAGGGGGAGCCACTTGAAGATCCTGGCAAATATCGAAGACTGGTTGGTAAACTAAATTATTTCACTATCACGCGACCAGATATTTCATTTGCGGTAAGTGTGGTTAGTCAATACCTCCAAGCTCCATGTAAAGATCATTGGGACGCAGTTATTCGCATCCTAAGATATATCAAAAGAGCTCCAGGGCAAGGACTGTTATATGAAGACAAAGGTCACACTGATATTATTGGATATTCTGATGTTGATTGGGTAGGTTCTCCATTAGATAAACGCTCTACTTTTGGGTACTGTGTCATGATTGGAGGAAATCTAATCTCTTGAAAAAGTAAAAAGCAAGATGTTGTTGCCAGATCTAGTGCAGAGGCAGAATATCGAGCTATGGCCCTTGGTACTTGCAAGCTTATTTGGTTGAAACAGCTCCTCCAAGAGTTCAAATGTGTTGAGTTCAAACAGATGAAGCTTATATGTGACAATCAAGTTGCCCTTCATATCGCCTCTAACCCAATTTTTCATGAAAGAACGAAACATATAGAGGTGGATTGTCATTTATTAGGCAAAAGATCGAGTCTGGATGCATTGTCACTAGCTTTGTCTGTTCAAATGACCAATTGGCAGATGTTCTTACTAAGTCCCTTAGAGGAGCTCGTATTGAATACATTTGCAGCAAGTTTGGAACATATGACATGTATGCTCCAGCTTGAGGGGGAGTGTTAAAGATCCTGTCAGAGTATTTCAACATTAGATTGTATGTTAGATTATATGTCTGATATAGTCAAAGATTGTAGGTAAAGAGGCGTGATCTTAGGGATACGCTCTTGACTTATGTGTCTTTCTTTGTGTATATATTTTGGGTGTAATCTATCTTTTGTATTATGAAGAGAAATACACTTACATCTTTCACATACTTCACCAAAATTTTCCTTTGTAAATTCGTTTCCTCCCTCCTTCCGCTCATTTGAATTCTTAACCAAATAACGTAAGAGAAATCCCAACTTTTTCTCATTATTCTTTTCTTGTCCTTTTCCCCCCTTGATACCAAGCACATGATGGCTTTTTTTCTAGTCCTTGTATAAGACACTAGTACATTTTACAAATGGGACGTACAATTTGGTCTTTGAATTGCTCTAATCAATTCAAAATTTATTTCATTAAAAAACTCAATGTAGCGTTGTTATAATCGTTATTCGAATATGTTATTTTCATACCAAGGACAAATGAAAAGTACCATAAACAACTAGAGAGAATAACCATTAGAAAAGCGAATAAATAATTCAACCAATGATAATTAATCCTAGTTTTCTTAAATTTTCGTCCTCCCTAGCATTTGGCGATCCCCTCAATCTTCATATCCTAAAATCAGTAATACCCTATCCTTCACGTTTTTAATACCCTGTTTACTTTTATAATTTACCCTTCTTTGGCACAAATTAGCATGCGTGGACTAATTTCACTTGCCACAGTGTAACTATAAAACTCAAATTTGAGGACTGAATATCCTTTTTCGCCAGATTGAGGACTATTAAATTGAAACGTCGGAAAATCTAGGGACGAAACTGAACTAACGGTCGAACGTTACTGAACCTTTTGCAGAATATGACACATTATTATACCATAGATCCGCTTATCTTCAACGGTCGAATTTTTCATATTTTAACGGCTACTTTTCCCATTCTCTCTCTTAGCTACATTTGATTTGAATCAAAAAAAAATCAACATCCTTTAGTCAGCTTTTCATCTTTCGATTCCAAATCGCAACGCCACTGTTTGTTTGAGGTAGGTTCCTTCATCTACCATGAATTTCCAACAACTTTTCTCTTTCTCCAATTAATTTATAGGGAAAGTACGTAAATCGACGCCTAAAGCATGTTTTTTTCTTCTTTTTTTTTTCTTTTTTTTCTTTTTATAAATGTTTCCCTCAGGGATATTGAGGCGTAGCTGTAGCTTTAGTTGTATATATTAGATTGGTATTTCAAAGGGATTTATTAATTGAACTGGTTAATATCTTTCTTTATGTTGGTTTTAGCATATAGATTTAGGGTTTATTAAAGGGATTTATCCTGGTTAATTATTTTGAAGTTCTCTAGCAGAGAATTGGTTATCGAGCAGTAATAAGGATTATTAAGATTTACTTCAATTACTGACATCGGTGTTTGTGTTAAATTGTTACTGTTGCTTTTCAGTGAAATTGCTCTCGTGGTGTTTGTTTTTATGCTACACTGATCTAATAAAGATTTAATCTCTGTTAGACTGTTACAGATCCATTATTTATAAGATGCCAGCTACTCAAAGTGATACAATTCAGCAAATGGAAACTACATGTGGATCACTGTTATATGAACTGCAGGTACTTATCATGAATTTGCCACAACATCATCCTTTCTTGATGTAAATCTTAAAGTTCTAACATTTGTCCTTTTTCTCCTCTCTTTATAGATAATATGGGATGAAGTTGGGGAACCTGATACTGAAAGAGACAAATTGTTGTATGAGCTCGAACGAGAATGTCTAGAAGTATATAGAAGAAAAGTGGACCAAGCAAACAAGAGTAGAGCTCAATTAAGGCAGGCAATTGCTGATTCCGAAGCAGAGCTTGCAACTATCTGTTCGGCAATGGGCGAGAGACCGGTGCATATTAGGCAGGTCAGAAGATGATAATTTTAGACAATAGTTGTAATTGTGTATCCTGTTCATGTTGACTTAGAACTAGATTTACATGTTAATTTAGTTTCACAAGATCATTAATGGATTTTTACAATGAATCTTGTGTTCAGTCTGATCAGAACTTAGGTGGTCTGAAGGCAGAACTTAGAACCATTCTTCCAGAATTGGACGAGATGCGCAAGAGGAAATCTGATAGAAAGAATCAATTCATTGAAGTTATAGAGCAGATACAGAAGATTAGGGATGAAATTTTTGTGCCCACTGGTTGTACTACTAGTGTGGTAGTAGATGAAAGTGATTTATCATTAAGAAAGCTAGAAGAATTACATGCAGAGCTACAGGCACTTCAAAAAGAGAAGGTCAATATTCTGCAGCACCCTAATCAGCTGTTCAAAATCCCCACAACCCCCAAATGAAAGTAAGAACTTATTATCTTGACTGATTTTTATTATCCTTTTTGCGGCAGAGTGAACGCTTAAAACAGGTTTTGGACCACCTAAGTGCTTTGAACTCACTATGCCTGGTTCTTGGTATGGATTTCAAGCATACTGTCAATGAGGTTCATCCAAGTCTAGGGGAATCTGAAGGAACAAAGAATATAAGTAATGATACCATCCAACATTTAGCTGCTGCAATAGGAAGACTACGAGAGGTTAAGTTGCAAAGGATGCAAAGGGTAAGCAGATGATTAAATTGTTTTGAAGTTACTGTTTTTTTCTTCAGTATGTAGACGTTGTTGACCTTCTGATTGTTGCAGCTACAAGATCTTGCATCTTCCATGCTGGAACTATGGAATTTGATGGACACACCAATTGAAGAGCAACAGACGTTTCAAAATGTTACTTGTAAGATAGCTGCCTCAGAACATGAGATAACAGAGCCAAATATACTGTCGGTGGAATTCATTAATTATGTAAGTTATAGTAACTGTCGAATTAGATGATTTATTTGTCCTCATCCACGGCGAAACCATTCCTTTGCCTACTGAGAGTGAACTAAACTTGATATTTTACTATCAAGGTTGAGGGAGAAGTGTCCCGCTTGGAAGAGTTGAAAGCAAGCAAAATGAAAGAGCTTGTTTTAAAGAAGAGGTCTGAGCTAGAAGAGTTCTGCAGAAGAACTCACTTGGTTGCTGATTCAGATAATGCGATGGATGTAGCTATTGAAGCTATTGAATCTGGTATTTATCCTGTGGTCAAGAAAGAAGACCTAGTCTAACACCTATGGCCTTTTTATGTGATTGATGTAAAGATCCTTTGCCTTTTTCTTTCTCTTTAAAAGGAGCTGTTGATGCTGCTTCTATCCTTGAGCAAATTGAGCTCCAAATAGCTCAAGTTAAAGAGGAAGCTTTCAGCAGAAAAGAAATATTAGAGAAAGTGGAGAAATGGATAGCTGCATGCGAGGAGGAGTGTTGGCTTGAAGAGTATAACAGGGTTAGTTCGCTTTTGACTTGCAATGACATGTATAAGTGTATGCATTATTACTTAACCATCTCCTTTAATTCCTGCCTAGGATGACAATCGCTACAATGCTGGACGAGGTGCCCACCTTACTCTAAAGCGTGCTGAGAAAGCTCGTGCTTTGGTCAATAAGCTTCCAGGTATAAGTTACTTCTTGATTGTCTGCAATCCCTTTTGTTTCAAGAGCCTCATTTTAATCTGAAGTTGCTATTTTCTCATAGATGATCCAGTGAAGATATTTCGTGTTTAGAAAAGATAAAGTTAGAATTGTTATCCCTTAACTTACTGTTATTGATAAGCTTCCAGGTGTAAGTTACTTCTTGACTGTTTGTATTCCCTATTGTTTGGGGAGCATCATTTCTATCTGAACTTCTTATGTTCTCTACCTCATTTTAATCTGAAGTTGCTATTTTCTCATAGATGATCCAGTGATGATATTTCGTGTTTAGAAAAGATAAAGTTAGAATTGTTATGCCTTAACTTACTGTTATTGATAAGCTTCCAGGTGTAAGTTACTTCTTGACTGTTTGTGTATTCCCTATTGTTTGGGGAGCATCATTTCTATCTAAACTTCTTATGTTCTCTATCATAGATCTGGTGATGAAATTTCAGACTTGAGAATTACTTCCTGATAATGACCTCTGAACTTCTAATGTTGTTGAACAGCAATGGTCGATGCTTTGGCATCAAAAACAAAAGCATGGGAAAATGAGAGAGGAGTAGAATTCATGTATGACGGGGTATGTACTCTCCACTTTTGCCTTCTAAATTAAGTTAGCTTTCTGGTATAAGTTGCAGAGACTTGAGCAATGTTCCTCAAGTTTTTGATTTATTTCCTGCTAGATCCGTCTTCTCGCTATGCTTGAAGAGTATAACATCTTACGGCAAGAAATGGAGCAAGAACGTAAAAGAGAACGAGTACGAACTCTCAATTGGCTTTTTGTTGATCCTAAATGTTTGCTTAATCATTAAGAGTCATTAATAAAACCTCCACCAAATATTATCTTATCTCAGGACCAGAAGAAACTTCAAGGACAGTTAATGGCAGAACATGAGGCTATCTATGGCTCAAAGCCCAGTCCTATGAAGAACCAAAGTGCAAAAAAGGGTCGTAGAATGTCCTGCAGTGGTGCAACCAATAGAAGGCTTTCTGTTGGAGGAACAATGCTCCAAACTCCGAAGCCTGAACTGCTTCATTCGACCAAGGTTACTCCAAACACACATCAAGCAAAGAAATCTGATCTCTTTCATCAAAAAGATCAATTTAATCATTCCATCAATGATGGATTGACAGCTTTATCAGGAGGTAATCAATCTTCTTACATTTCTAATCTCCTAGATAACCCGAGAAAAGTATGACGTTCTTGGACTGTCCTGATATATGTTCTTTTTGTGAGATGTATATTTCTCAATCTAATATGTTACACTTTCTTTGTGTAGGGAGAAAAACTTTGGATCTTGCTGGACTTCCTTCAAAAAAGCAGTCCATAAATGGTTGTGAAATAGAGAAAACTATGACACGGAAACCTTTTTCACCCATTTCTTCCACTGATTCATCCAAGTCCAATGCAACTAACATGTTGGAAGATATGA